TACAGTGGAATTCGTTTATTATGACTCCGCCTATATTGACCAACCGCTTAATATGAAGTAATTGCAGTGTTAAGTTTGGTTTTCATGTTAAATTCTCCATAGGAAACTTTGGATATAATGACTCCGTTTAAAATGACATATAATTTATTATGACGAATTCTCAAGAAATCATATCCGGCTATAGCGACCCAAATGATTAATAATAACATTTTGGCTCATTTTTCTGACCCTTCTTATGTATATTAATATTACAATTCTTCGTTCTTTTTCTTTTTCTGTTAATAAATATAAACAATTTGTAGTTTTTTCCTCTATTAAACTAAATAGCTAACCAAAATAGAAAATTGTTTAGTTTCTAAGACTATGCTTTGTATGACGCCCGCTTAGTATGACGTGTTTGTCATTTCCCTTCGATGTCATTATAAGCGGATTCTACTATATATGATTTGATGTACATATATAATCATCATCATAAGGTCGTCAGTCCTAAGACTGTTTGGAGACGCACCTCCACTCCTTCCCATCTTGAGCTAATCTTCGCATTTCCCTAAAACTAGAACATCCCACATCCTTAACTACCCAGTGGGAAATTATAATAAATAAGTCCGATTTTGTAAATCTCAAATTTTGACATATCTCCACGTTTCAAGGTCCTTAGAGTCGTAACTATTTTCTTAATTACCCTATATTTTACTTTTCGATTATACACCTGCAGGTATAGTACCTAATGCATATATTTACGAATGATGTAACCGTTTTGAAGAATATGTTGGTATAAGGTTTTCCCAGTATAAAAACTGCATGTCTGCCTGTTGGCATAAAACAAAACATAAACAGTTCAAAATTAATTTGTAATGAAGAAAGCTTCTTTGTTGGTAAAAGTAACTGTTTCAAACATATTTTACATTTAATGCGGGTATTTAACATTTTTATGTATGCACACACCAATTAATTCAGTTTTAAGCGATATTTAAACTGTCAAATGGCCATGAATAATTTTAGTACTAAATAACAGAAATGGACTTGTTCGATTCTATTCGGTTATCATTTAGGTACTCTTGTTTTGCGCGTCGCGTCGTTTGATCGCTAGTAGGAAGTTATCATCGACTAGAGTGAAATGTTTTGTTAACAATGTGCGATAATTTTTTCTTTAATAATTGGTATAGACGAACAGAATATGAGCCTGTGCAAAGTGACGAAGAATACGAATATTACATTGAAAAATTAATGAGATTGCAGGGATTTGACGAAAGTGACTACGAAGAAGAAGTTCAACCTACCGCCAACAAACGTATTGTACCTTCCTAAACAGTATTAATAAAAGTTGTTTTCCGCAAGATTACTGATATTGTTCAGATAATACTTCAACTTGTTATATTTACTTACTTATCTCACACGCAAATTGTTTAATTAAATTGATTGTGCAGTATCGCCACATCGCCAGCAATTTACTATTTTTACCTCTTTCAGATTCCGTTAGCTTCTCTGGTTTACATGGTGAGTATTAATTTTTTATATTAAGGTTCATTTTAGTTAATTTTTTTAAAAGTAAAAGATATTGGTGGTAATCCTGGTATAAATAAATATTGTGTCACACAATGTGTATATTATTACAATGACATCGTTGATCAATATTGACCATTAACGATGTGAGTTGTCGGGTTGATTGTACATTAAATAGTTGTGTTTTAAACATGTAATATTCACTAATTAATTGTAGGTTTTGCCTGAAGAGGTCAACCGCTAAGCTGACGAAAGCTAGTGTTATTGTAATAATATACACAACATATTATGTGACTCAATATCTGGTCGTATTTATTTACACCTGGATTACCGCAAAGATCTTTTACTTTTGATATTTTTTTTGTTAAGAATTTTATCGTAATATAGTTGAACGTTGAACATCTACAGCTCGAAGTTTTATAACTCAAAATCTTTTCTAAGTCGAATATTTTTTGTCATCTTGACATGTGTAAGTTTTTAACTCGAATTTCTTCGTTTCTCTAGCTCAAAATTCGAAAGCATTATCGATTGTTTCTTTAATTCGAAATTTCTATTAGGAATCAGGGTTGGAAAAAAGGGTTTTTTGTTAAATTTGTGAAGCAAACTGTTCAAAACGTTTTAAACATGTGTTCATTTGTTTTAAACATTTTTTTACGTTTATTTTAAACACGTTTTAAACTTGCTTTAAGCAAGCCTTTTTATCGCGGCATCTGGACGTCATTAAGTACTTTTGTTTTTAACAGTGTTTGAAATTCGTGCTTTATACACTGTTTTAATCATGTCAACCTTGAGAAATATTTTATTTTTTTCATATCTATAACCAACAAGGGCTTTTACTCTAATACTTTAATATGTATGTTTTTTTTTCTGTTAGATTGTTTAAAACACGTTTATTTAAGACATGTTTTTTTTAGATTGTGTTTTACTGTTTAAAGTTTAAAGCACGTGTTTTAAAACATGCCAACTCTGTTTNAAGAAAAAAAATAACTAACATATTTCATTCTTATAAATATAGTACTTAAGCAAATTGCAGTTAAGTAGCTTAAACACGTACAGAAGTCTAAAACTTAAGAGAAACCAAAACTTTGTATCAAATACAAATTTTTAAAATAAAGAATTTACAAAAACAGTTGTAAATCTACTCCTATTAAAACAATTGAACAATACGTTTCATGAGTCTTCCAATATATTTTATTTCCATTTGTTATTTAATTAATTATTAACAGACTCCATATCTCCATAAAAGCAACGCAAACAAAACATATTGTTTTACAAAGCTAAAAAACTATAAATGTTCTATAGTTACCTGCTTAATAGGTATTTCTAAGGAATGTATGAAATAAATGGTATGAAGCACTTTTGCAACTCCATTTTATTTCAGGTATATTGTTAAAAAGAAGCAGGATTCTTTGTGGAACTTGATAGAAGGTGCCCATGATGCATGGTCGGGGTGGTTGTGCGTCTTGATAGTGGGTGTCCTCACCGGATGCGTGGCAGGTGTTATAGACATAGGTGCCAGTTGGATGACGGATCTCAAATTTGGAATTTGTCCTCAAGCATTTTGGTTAAACCAAGAACAATGTTGTTGGTCCACCAACGAAACTACATTCGATGTTTTAAATTGTTCTCAAGTAAGATTCAAAAAATTTAATGTTTTTGAGTTTATTTTTTTCCTTTCAATTAGAGGTTTACTGTACTAAAAAGGTTCTTTTAAAATTCCATTTCCATTGTAGTGGTTGACTTGGTCGGAGGTATTGGGTCAAGCTCGAGAAGGAGTTGGTCCATACATAATATCCTATTTATTTTACATTGTTTGGGCGCTTCTATTTGCTGCCCTTTCTGCCTCTTTGGTGAGAATGTTTGCACCTTATGCATGTGGTTCTGGTATACCCGAGGTGAGAATAAATCAATGAACTTATTTTCCAGACTGTTTAAATATTTTTCGGTACATTAATATATTCTTCATTATCTTATTTGAGAATGATTTTATTGTTCATTATTCCCCTAATACAAGAAACGTATCCCAGTAAGATAATAATTGTTATAAGTGCAATGATGAAACTTTTAATTAAAAAATTTGTTTATTTATAATATCATGTCCATCCATTACAGAGACGAATGATATACCTGGCATTGGACAATATGAGGATTTTCACACGATTGACTGGCAAAGGGACATTGCTAGGGATCGAATGCGACACAGGTATTTTTTAAATTTGTATTTTGTGAGATTTAATTTTAAAATTTTCCTTCCGTTAATAAACATCTATACGTGTACTGATTGCGATGCCTTTGTTGAAATTTAATGATTCGAAGTAGTTACATATTTATGCAAACAAAAAAGTCATGATGATTATTATCTTGTAGCGATTTGCAAATCGAAAGTGATAAGCATAAAGTAAATTAATGTCAAAGTAAACTAAAGGGTACGACAGATGTCAAGTAAAAGCTCTTTATTCGCGGGGTATACGTTCCATAAATATGCCGCGAATACAGAAACCGTGGATATGGAATGGTAATTATTATGGAAACATAGGGGATACGTTCTAAGGTTCCAAAATAAAATCAATATGTATCAGAATAAAATCAATTATCTGAGAAATTCGCAATTAAAATTAATCGTTATAATCAGCTTTAGACAAGGGTTTAAAAAATTTAGTAAATTTTGAATTAGTCCACTCGGTTAGATCTTTTATAAAAGTTGCCTCGACACAAGCCAACAGCNTGCAGTTAAGTAGCTTAAACACGTACAGAAGTCTATACGTTAAAAATATATATGTACGTAGAAATAACTTCAAACAGTTCAATTTGTTAAATTATTATTTCAGATATACATATAGCATTTGCATCTGTCATTTTAGGATAATTTTCTTAAAATATTTCACTACTCATGTCAATAAAGTTGTCTATGAATTTTTTTTTTCATCATTTGTTTTTTTTAACATAAAAGTTCAGTATACACACAAATTTTTGATAACCCGTTAGAAGAAAGTTTATCATTCTGTTTTAGAATGAACACATAACTCCAATACATTAAAATTAGTTTAATTATTTAAATGTACGTTAAAATACTTATAAACCAAACAGTATACAAAGACACAAATTAAATTAACAATACATAATGCAAAAAATAGGTTAATTTGTTTAATAAAACAAATAGATTTCTGGTTAATAAAATAAAGGTTAAATAATAGAGTCTCGGATAGTAATTTCTTAACAAACCAATTGCTGTTCAGAAGAAAAACAACTTTTCAACTCGAAATTATTAAAAATAATAATTGTACCATAAAAAAAAGTTTCAATAAAAATAATAATTGCACAATAACATGTATACAGATACAAGTACTAAATAATTGATACGTTACGTTAAGTTCTTAGGGAATGAAAAATTTCAAAAGTTACGTTCATTAAGAGATTACCTAGTTTATGTAAGTTTAATTTACTAAATAAAATAGAATAGAAGCCACCTACAAAATATGTGAATATATAATAAAAAATANGTGAATACATAATAAAAAATAATATACTAGTGTTAAATATCCTTCATATTAAAATCGTTTCCATTGATATATTAAGTAAAGAAGAATCTATTTAAAACAGCAATTTGTCTAATTAATCTTGTGGTATTAATGATAAGATAAATCATTTTTAAGTTATTCTAATAGAATGAAATATTTTATTCGGTACATTAATATATTCTTCATTATCTTATTTGAGAATGATTTTATTGTTCATTATTCCCCTAATACAAGAAACGTATCCCAGTAAGATAATAATTGTTATAAGTGCAATGATGAAACTTTTAATTAAAAAATTTGTTTATTTATAATATCATGTCCATCCATTACAGAGACGAATGATATACCTGGCATTGGACAATATGAGGATTTTCACACGATTGACTGGCAAAGGGACATTGCTAGGGATCGAATGCGACACAGGTATTTTTTAAATTTGTATTTTGTGAGATTTAATTTTAAAATTTTCCTTCCGTTAATAAACATCTATACGTGTACTGATTGCGATGCCTTTGTTGAAATTTAATGATTCGAAGTAGTTACATATTTATGCAAACAAAAAAGTCATGATGATTATTATCTTGTAGCGATTTGCAAATCGAAAGTGATAAGCATAAAGTAAATTAATGTCAAAGTAAACTAAAGGGTACGACAGATGTCAAGTAAAAGCTCTTTATTCGCGGGGTATACGTTCCATAAATATGCCGCGAATACAGAAACCGTGGATATGGAATGGTAATTATTATGGAAACATAGGGGATACGTTCTAAGGTTCCAAAATAAAATCAATATGTATCAGAATAAAATCAATTATCTGAGAAATTCGCAATTAAAATTAATCGTTATAATCAGCTTTAGACAAGGGTTTAAAAAATTTAGTAAATTTTGAATTAGTCCACTCGGTTAGATCTTTTATAAAAGTTGCCTCGACACAAGCCAACAGTACTTAAAAGATGCCGATACGTTGAAAAACAACACTGAATCCTTTTCTATTTACTCGATTACATCTTTTATAAAAGCTACCTCGGCACGAACATACTCAAAAGATGTCGATACATTAAGGGGATTCAGTAGTACATGCGCCGTAGAGTAAAAACATGCTTATCGGTTCTAGATATCATGAGTTTAATATTTGAAACAGAGGTTTGAAATTTTGTAGAAAGATAGACAAAGCTTTGTTCTAAGGCTTGTCGAAGGCCATTTTTTAATTTCTATTGAAAATACGTGTCCTACAAGAAGCATTAAATTTAAGCACTTGTAAAAGCTTTTAATAACCATATTATTGAAAACCAAAAACGTATCGAGTTAGTGTAAACCTTTGTCTGTTACCATACAAAAAATCAGATATCTATCTCGTAGCGTTAAATCACAATGTTTAGAATAGAAACCCATGTTCTCGAAAAAATTCACACTAGGTACGAGTGGTCTATTGCGGTCAATCCCCTTAATAAATGACACCGAATCCATCCCACGAAAGAATAAACGGATATGGGTCTATCAACGCTATCTTTTTCTAAATCGACTAATAAAACTAAAGACATAGAAGAGAACAGTGAACTAATACGTGACATACGACTGTAGAGTATAATTCCATAAACGTAGCATTGAAAAAGGCTAGCCCTATGCACTACCAATCGCTGCTAAATTGAATAAGGGGTATTATTAGTACCTAAGAGCGTAAGGGATGGAGAATAAATACGTCGCCAAAATTCCATAAAAATCGTGCATTTTATTAAATCTCGATTTGTGGTTTTACTTTATTAATTTTATTAAGGAGTTTACGTGGTCCGCAAATCAAACAAAAGTAGACCTACTGCTTTCTAAATTATATCAGAAATTAAACTTTTTTTGGCGGTACTTCACTGTAATTACCTTAGAATTAAAGAGACGTAATTTCATATAGTAAAGGGGAATTAGGAAAGTCACTTCTCGTGCAAATCAGGTATTTATTTTTTTTAATACTATTCATAGAGGCAGGTCTAAATTACGTAAACCTGTATCCCTGTATCAGGCCTCCAGTTCATGCAGTCCTACAAGTGCCCCGTCATTCCAGTATTTCTTGTAAAAATTGTAAAATTACGGGCCATTTAGGAATTCTATAGTTTTTATTTTTTCATGAATAGAGATCCTGAAAAACGATAGGCATGGGGCTGCGAATGTTCAAGATCCTTCACTAGGCTCAAACTCGTTTTAATTTTTACGATATAAAAGCGCCGCAGAGTGTCGTAAAATGACATGAGTTTTGACGAAAATTCATAATTTCAGCTCTTTTTTAACCAATTTTCACATCTAGACACTCAAAAATTTGCCCTTTACTGTTGTTCAGGTCAATTTTAATTTATACGATATAAAAGTGCGGCAGGGTGACATGTTTTGACGAAAATCAGTTTTTGCATAATCAAAGGATACCTTTCATAATTTCGTCTTTTTAACCAACTTTGAAAATTGAACGCACAGATTTCTCGTCAAAATTTGAAATTAAACCTCATTTAGGAATGTTTACCCTTTACTCCCGAATGTCCAAGATCCGCCACTGACTACTCAACTACAAGACTATTATGTGGTCTGTATCAGTAAAACAAGACGTTTGCTTATCATCTGTTGATAAGTAATCTTTTTTTTTTACATATACTTTTACTATTTACTTAAACAATTGTAAAGCCGAACACGTTTTTAATATGTTATTAAAAAGAAAAAAAATAACTAACATATTTCATTCTTATAAATATAGTACTTAAGCAAATTGCAGTTAAGTAGCTTAAACACGTACAGAAGTCTAAAACTTAAGAGAAACCAAAACTTTGTATCAAATACAAATTTTTAAAATAAAGAATTTACAAAAACAGTTGTAAATCTACTCCTATTAAAACAATTGAACAATACGTTTCATGAGTCTTCCAATATATTTTATTTCCATTTGTTATTTAATTAATTATTAACAGACTCCATATCTCCATAAAAGCAACGCAAACAAAACATATTGTTTTACAAAGCTAAAAAACTATAAATGTTCTATAGTTACCTGCTTAATAGGTATTTCTAAGGAATGTATGAAATAAATGGTATGAAGCACTTTTGCAACTCCATTTTATTTCAGGTATATTGTTAAAAAGAAGCAGGATTCTTTGTGGAACTTGATAGAAGGTGCCCATGATGCATGGTCGGGGTGGTTGTGCGTCTTGATAGTGGGTGTCCTCACCGGATGCGTGGCAGGTGTTATAGACATAGGTGCCAGTTGGATGACGGATCTCAAATTTGGAATTTGTCCTCAAGCATTTTGGTTAAACCAAGAACAATGTTGTTGGTCCACCAACGAAACTACATTCGATGTTTTAAATTGTTCTCAAGTAAGATTCAAAAAATTTAATGTTTTTGAGTTTATTTTTTTCCTTTCAATTAGAGGTTTACTGTACTAAAAAGGTTCTTTTAAAATTCCATTTCCATTGTAGTGGTTGACTTGGTCGGAGGTATTGGGTCAAGCTCGAGAAGGAGTTGGTCCATACATAATATCCTATTTATTTTACATTGTTTGGGCGCTTCTATTTGCTGCCCTTTCTGCCTCTTTGGTGAGAATGTTTGCACCTTATGCATGTGGTTCTGGTATACCCGAGGTGAGAATAAATCAATGAACTTATTTTCCAGACTGTTTAAATATTTTAAATTATTTAGATAAAAACAATCCTAAGTGGATTTATTATAAGGGGTTATCTAGGAAAATGGACACTTATTATCAAATCTGTCGGCCTTATTTTATCCGTCTCTGCCGGACTTAGCTTGGGTAAAGAAGGTCCCATGGTGCACATAGCTTGTGCTATAGGTAAGGATTCTTCAGTAAAAATTAGCTTTTTATTAAACATTAATGTAATTTTATTATTGTCCAAAAATCGTTATGACTATTTAAAACATTGTTTCAAAACACTTTTTATATCAGTATTTTTGTAATAATATTTGTTATATGTAAATTAAAAAATAGCTTACTTTGGTATACTTTAAAATTTTTAATTTTAAAGTTTCTTAATGAAGGTTCGGATTGTATTTATAAGAGAAATTGTAGGTAATATATTATCATATCTCTTTCCCAAGTACGGGAGAAATGAAGCTAAGAAGAGAGAAATATTATCTGCAGCCGCAGCAGCGGGGGTCTCCGTAGCTTTTGGTGCCCCCATTGGAGGAGTTTTGTTTAGTTTAGAAGAGGTAATTAGTCGTTTATTCTCCATATTTTTATTTAATTAAAAAACAATCCAAAATTCGTATTATGTTCTATTCTATAAATCTCATAGGTAAGCTATTATTTTCCACTGAAGACGTTATGGAGATCATTCTTTTGCGCATTAATAGCAGCTTTCGTATTAAGATCGATAAATCCGTTTGGTAACGAACACTCAGTATTATTCTACGTGGAGTACAATAAACCATGGATATTTTTCGAACTGGTCCCTTTCATAGGTCTCGGAATAATAGGAGTAAGTACCTATAAAAGAATGCTAATTTTATTACAGTAGTCACCAATGATGTGTGACATCTAATCTCTATAACGAGCGTGAAAATATTAGTCGCGTATTAATTAAAGTGATTTGACTTATTTGGTACTGATTTTTTCATATTTTATTTTAATATAACACTAATTCAATCATTTAAGTCATAACTAATTGTAAAAGGTGCATAGCAATTAGCAGAATGAACGATTGCTAGCTGTGTATATTTTCTCTTTCTCCTGTTTATATTTCACTTTTCAAGCGACAACTTTATACAGCATCGATTGAATAATGCATTTCCCCTCTCTAACTTCCGCTTACACGTTTCCATCAGTTGGAATTGGTCCCATCCTCGAGCGTTAAGATGTTGCACATCAACAAATTACTTCAAAAGAATGAAAAAAGTTAAAATAATTTTTCTATTCTAGGGGGTAATAGCAACAATATTTATTAAAGCCAACATATACTGGTGTCGGTATAGAAAATACTCAAAATTAGGACAATATCCTGTAACTGAAGTGCTTGTTGTAACTGTTATAACAGCTGTTCTTGCATACCCAAATCCTTATACCCGTATGAACACTAGTCAACTAATTTATTTGCTCTTCAGTCAATGCGGTATTTCAAATTCAGACAGTTTATGGTAAATATTGAATAAGTCATAAAAAATTATTTAGAATTTTCTTTTTTTTAAATAAAAATATCATTAAGATTTTCTTGATTTTTTTAGTGACTATAATCGCAATTTTACCGATGTGAATTCTGCAATTGAAATAGCAGCTGCAGGTCCCGGGGTGTACAAAGCCATGTGGCTTCTAATGCTTGCTCTTATATTTAAACTTATTATGACCGTCTTTACCTTCGGCATGAAAGTTCCATGTGGTCTTTTCATACCAAGTTTATGTCTTGGTGCAATTGTTGGTCGCATTGTTGGAATATTTATGGAACAGCTTGCATACAATTATCCAAAAAATCCTATTTTCAGTGGAGAGTGTTCAACAGGAGACGATTGTATTACACCTGGATTATATGCAATGGTTGGAGCAGCCGCCGTCCTCGGAGGAATCACAAGGTAAAAAAAGAGAGCTTCAAAACATTTCTAATCTTACATTTCTTTTTTAAGGGAGTGAAAGATTTTAAAAATAAAAATCCTGGTAAAGAATGTACTTCCCTCGCAAAATAAATTATTCAAATTTTTTAACTTTGGGTCATTTAGTTAACTGCTTACAATTTTCATTATTACCAAAATTATAGCAACAAAAAGCACTTACCCCAATTAACTACAGCACTTAATTACCGCAGACACTTCTTTCGTTCACTTACGTTGTAACCTCCCTAATCTGTCTGTTGTCAAAGATAAAGAATACCTACAGTACCACGTACATTTTCTTTACTGTTTTTTTTTTTTTTAAGGATGACCGTATCTCTTGTGGTGATAATGTTCGAACTGACCGGAGGTGTAAGGTATATTGTACCTTTAATGGCGGCTGCAATGGCGAGTAAATGGGTAGGTGACGCTTTAGGGCGTCAAGGCATCTACGATGCCCATATCGCCATTAATGGTTATCCTTTCCTTGATTCAAAAGATGAATTTGCGCACACATCACTTGCTGCAGACGTTATGCAACCCAAGTAAGTGTTCTGAACTACACCAATTTTGTTCGTAATATTTCATGAGTAGGGACGTAATTCTCGCCCCATTATTATTTTTATCTCAATCGTAATTTTAGTTATTACTGTAATTTGTTTTTTTCAGAAGGAATGGGACATTAAGTGTCATCACACAAGACTCAATGACTCTTGATGACGTAGAGCAGTTGTTAAAAGAGACAGAGCACAATGGATATCCTGTTGTTGTATCCAAGGAGTCCCAATATCTGGTGGGATTCGTATTAAGAAGAGATCTCAGTTTGGCAATTGGTAAAGCAAAGCATACTAAAAAGTGAAATTTTATTTGTAAGATAATGTATTATTGTCTTTTTTTAACAGCCAATGAAAAGAGAATGGTTGATGGTATTTGCGGACAGTCGCTGATACTTTTCACTACCACAAATCCAGTACAAACGTTGGGTCCCCCACCATTGAAACTTAAAAAAATATTAGACATGGCCCCAATTACAATTACCGATCAGACCCCAATGGAAACTGTTGTTGATATGTTTAGGAAATTAGGATTAAGACAGACGCTTGTTACTCACAATGGGTAAGATAATGATTAATACTAACTTATTAGATTTGTTAAACAATATTGATTGTTATTTATTTTTTTGCATAAACAATTCTGGGCAGTATTTAAGTATGTATATTTTTATTGAGGTTCAAAAGTTAGTTAGTTTTAAATTTTATTATTCAACGATATTAACTTTTGAATTGAGAAATCATCAAAAAACTAAAACACGTTTTAAGGAAAATTCCTTCCTTCCTATTTCAGTAAAAGTAAAAATAATGTAACTGTTAATACTGTTTTTTTAGGAGATTATTGGGAGTTATAACGAAAAAGGACGTTCTTCGTCATATAAAGAAGATGGACAACGAAGATCCTAATTCAGTTTTATTCAATTAAATATAGTTTTTGTAAAGTTTCATACTTATACAAACAACATTTTCAGTGCAAATAACTAAAATTTATTTTTGCACACTAATACGTCCAGTAATTTTTTAAATTTTAGTTTAGAAGAGGTAATTAGTCGTTTATTCTCCATATTTTTATTTAATTAAAAAACAATCCGAAATTAATATTATGTTCTATTCTATAAATCTCATAGGTAAGCTATTATTTTCCACTGAAGACGTTATGGAGATCATTCTTTTGCGCATTAATAGCAGCTTTCGTATTAAGATCGATAAATCCGTTTGGTAACGAACACTCAGTATTATTCTACGTGGAGTACAATAAACCATGGATATTTTTCGAACTGGTCCCTTTCATAGGTCTCGGAATAATAGGGGTAAGTACCTACAAAAGAATGCTAATTTTATTACAGTAGTCACCAATGATGTGTGACATCTAATCTCTATAACGAGCGTGAAAATATTAGTCGCGTATTAATTAAAGTGATTTGACTTATTTGGTACTGATTTTTTCATATTTTATTTTAATATAACACTAATTCAATCATTTAAGTCATAACTAATTGTAAAAGGTGCATAGCAATTAGCAGAATGAACGATTGCTAGCTGTGTATATTTTCTCTTTCTCCTGTTTATATTTCACTTTTCAAGCGACAACTTTATACAGCATCGATTGAATAATGCATTTCCCCTCTCTAACTTCCGCTTACACGTTTCCATCAGTTGGAATTGGTCCCATCCTCGAGNTATTACAAAATATGGATATTGGTTTGCGAATTTCCGTCTTCACTTGTCTTCCCGAAATAGTTTTATCAATTTTAATAGCGTGGTTCAAAAAATTTATTTTCATTATTTATAATTTTAAGAGGGGATATGATTGTCTGCAAAGAATGGAATTCAAACTCCAAAGTAGATTCTGGCGGTTTTTTATGATGAATATTAGATTAATTTTTGTATAACCAATTACGACCCCAATGTATTTTTTTCTTCAGTAACTTAAGTAATATTTTCAAATTTTTAACTGATTTTCTTTATATTTGACTACATTATCAATTGTCATGCATAGTGTCCTCATATTTTGTAATAAACAGTAAAACATTTCCAATATTTTATGAATAAAAAAAATTTTCTGAAATTTGCTTTTAAAAAGAACTTTGTGTACACATTATTGTAATAAAGAAAGTGATAGATATTTATGTTTTATTCATCATTTAAAACAATGATAACAATCCAATGAAAAAAATGTTATTAAAGATTTCATTTGTTAAAAAAAGTGTAATACATGTAAACATTGGAATTGGGTGATTTATCTTTCTAATCTACAAAAAAATGCATGCCTTGAATCTTTATAATTCAAAGGAAAATATTTTTCATAAAAATCTAGAACTACATGTTCAACTTTAAAGCCAAATTTCTGATACAAAAATAAAGCTGAATTATCTATTGCAACATGTAATGTAATGTCTTTTCCAACACTTGTTTGTATTAAGTGATATAACATGAACTTTGCAACACCAACATTTCTCCATCCAGGTCTTGTAAAAATAAATGACATATAATTCTCATTAATTTTTACATCGGGAACTAAAAATGCAAATCCAACAATTAGTCTTTTATACAAGGCAACACAGCTAAAGTCAGGATATTGTAGGCATTCTGTCAGATCTATTCCTGGCCAGAAGAAATGATTACACAAACTGTTTATTGCAGGAATATGTTCAGGTTGAACATAAACATAATCTACTGGGTCCCTAGGTGGCAACTTCCACCCTAAGCATTTGTGATTCACTTTTACTTGAAGTTCTGCCATGAGTTGTAACCAAGGAGGGTTGACTTCTGCATCTCTTTTGATATAAGGGCATAAATAAAGAGCACTGTATGGAGACAATACTGGTTCTAATCTAAGGCCTCCCATAATTTTTGTTTTTAAATCCATTGCTTTATTATTGCTGGCAATGCTCAATGATGTATTGTAATGACAAGCAGGGTCATTAAATTTGGTAAACATTTGTTTCACTAGCTTCTCTTCATGTAACTTTCTGGGCTTGTAATTCGAACTAATTTGTACACTTTGGTTTGTTGGATTTGAATTCTTTGTTTCAATATTTTTTAATAATAGGTGTGTTATATCATCCTCCTTTGATGAGGATTTGTTATTATCAGTTTTAATTAATTTCCTTTTTTGTTCAAAGCTTTCGACAGTGGGTAGTAGATTTTTCTTTTTTTGTTTCAAAGCTAAGTTATCTGACTCAATTTTACCAGTATCATCATATATGATTATTTCAGGTAATAAATCATCAGAATTTATGTTAAAATCTAACGCACTGAGTACTTCTTCTGTACCATACCATTTTGCCTTAAGAATATTCTTTAAAATCATTTCATCACTAGCAAAGGAATGATTTTCTTTTGCTTTCTGTTTTTCCATCATTAATTCATTATTCAATTGAACTATTACATTAGGTGTTAATTTTGGAAACGTGAGGGTCCACCATCCTGGTTCATTAAATAGAATTGTACCAGATTTAAAAAAATAGGGACTGTAATGGGATAAACTTCCAGAAACTGTTCCCCACCATTTCCTCCTTTGTCTAAAATACTTTCGAAAAAGGAAATTCCAATTCTTATCAATGAAAGCTGCAATATGAGTTTTCCAGTGGAAATATCCCTTTTTTGCCAATCCTTGACTTCGTAATTGCAGATTAAATAAAACAAGAACTATCGTTTGGAGCCACGTCATTTTGCTGCGAACAAATTTCTCGGTGTCATCAAGGGAACACTCAAAACAAGTAAATTGGAAGAACACATCTCCAGGAAGGCCTCCCGGTACTGAGCCCCGTTTCAAGCATTTTACATGGACTGATTGCTTACATAATGTACATTCTAAACCCTCTGCGTGTATTTCTTTTAGTGTTTCTGAACAGTATTTACATTCCATCACCAATAATTATACAATTCAAAAATTACTTTCAATTTTAATTTTATCAATAAACTTTGACTCAGTTCCACTCATTTCCACTCATAACTGCTCATAACCATAGATAATAGATATACAAAGGGTAATAACCCTATTATCACCCTTTGTATATATATTATCCTATGATATTATCTATGCCCTATTATCTATGACATAACCTCACCTGTTTTCATAGACTTGTTTTAAATCTATCAACTATTGAACCTAGAATCTACTGTTGTCTATAGGGTTGTCTATGAGCCGTGTGAATCTGGCACCCGATATAAATAATCCTCTGATTAAGCTTTACCAATAAATTTTGCGTCGTTTGCGGGTTATAAATATGTAAGGATTATTTGTGCGTCTATCAGTTCTGTTAAAAAAAAGAAAAATTGTTTCGCGAGCAGATGGAAGTTGAATGTCAATTTATTCAAAAGTTACTGAAGTTGTGATCATTTAATTTACGCCAATTGATTGCGTGTCACTTGTGCATGAAGATTAATCAATATGGTAAACGGAATTTATCTTTAATATTATTTCTTAGTGTTATTGCATGCCAGATAGTTGTCTTTACCTCTACCCTCCATAGATTTCATATTTTTGAAAAATAGACTCCTTATCTTATTATCTATAGTCTTTTCCATTTCAAGGTCTAATAACCTAATTTTTAACTGCCTATATTGGTCTACTAGAATATGAATATAATTTGGCATTGTAGAGAAAAATGGAAAATTTAAGTGTATTCTTTAGAAACCATATTATTTCAGGGAAAACTGATCATTTTGATGAGTATGTTACGTTTAAAAAATTTTTCCTAGCAAATTCGTAAGTTCATAATTTTAATTTGTGTAAACACCCACCTACTGTAGTTGTCTTAAAGGGGGACCTTTTATACATGGCTCGATAGAATTTTTACAAATAAAACGTTAAAAAACAACATTAGAGCGAACGAACTAAGAAAGACAGGAAATGAATATTATATTAAAAAGGATTATGAAAACAGCTTATTATTTTACACATACAGTTTATGCTTTGCAGAACCTAAATCAGAATCATATGCACTTAGCTATTCTAATAAGTCAGCAGTTTTATTTGAAATAGAAGACTTTGAAGTAAGCAATTGGATAGAATATTAGTTTGTTACTGTTTTTAGTTAATTTATTTAGCAATGTTTAGAGAGCATCAATATTTGCCTATCTTATAAATGCTCTGATAGTATAAAACTGAAACTTCTTATCAGAAAAGCAGAATGTTACCGTAATTTAAATAGGCAGAAGGAATTCGACAATGCCGTAAATGCGTGTGAGGAGTTAATTAGATTTCTACATTTAAAAGAATTTGGTAATCTACTTATAATTAGACTTAATATACAATGAAGCATCGCATTTAAAATTCTAGAGCGAGAAAAATATTTAAACAAACTAAAGGTTGTAAGTAAAAATTTAAAAACTTCAAATCAAAGTCCATCAGTTCCCTTACCCATTTTAAAAGATGATGCAAGTGATTTATATTTATATGCGTCATCCGTACTTAAAATTAGGTAAGAGAAATATGTAGGTTCTTGTTTTTTTTTTAGAGTAGTTATTTACCTTTTAAGGTTTTTTTATTTGAAAATGTATTTATTGTTAGAGAAACAAAAGAACGAGGTCGTCACGTTATTACTGAGAAAAAGTTGAATGTCGGCGATGTGCTGTTTATTGAGAAAGCGTTTTCATTTGCTCCTATTTTACTTGATGAGAGTGACACCGAGATTAAATTAAGTAAATGTTTTTATTGCCTTTCAGACGCATTAAAGGTTTGTATACCGTAAGTTATTTAAAAGTTAATTATCCTTGGAATTAGTTTAATTCAGTTTCAATGTAATGCGTTTTAGATGTTTGTCCTGTACTAAGGTCATTTATTGTAATAAAAAGTGCCGCTCTGAGTCATGGAAAGAATGCCATCAGTGGGAATGTTTAGGGATGCAAACAAATTTTTGGCAAGAAATTGGTGTAGGGTTTCCTGCCTTTCGTGCATTTCTAAAAGGACTGTCATCTCATTTTGAAAGACTACCTTCTAATTACGACTTTGAGATGTGTCCTTTTGGCGATGAAACTAATAATTATCGTTTTTTTAATGCACTAGTTACTAATTTCTGTCACATGGAAAACATCACAAAAATACTAATTGTAAGTACCTACTAGCGTGGTATTTATTTAATGTATTTTTTCAAATACTTACCAAGTTGTAGATCTTATAAAGACCAGTTACAAATAAGTATGACGAATGTCTCGGGATAAATGGAGTTTTATATTCATATAGTAACCATTTTAAAATAAAAAAAAAAATTAATTGCCTAATAAGCAAAAACTATAAAATTTACCTTGTGCAAATTGTCTTTGAATATTAATCATATTGTACAAGTGCTAAACTTTTTTAACGGTTTATTAGTATCCTTTCTGAATTCTGAAAAAGGTATGGTTTTCCGCACGGGAGTGGGCGTGAATCCTACATTCATTTAAAAAATAAATACCTGGAAAAAACTTTGGGGTGGTTAATAATAGGCATTCGAGTGGCTCAGTTAAAGCTACTCTACATGCTTTTTTTTATTACAAAGGCAAGGAATAAATTAGACTATGATTTGAATTAGAATAGACAACAGGCTAAAAGTATTTTATTTTTTTTTCAATGGCGCAGTAGAACAAAATTAAAATATTTTTGTAGTATTATTGAAGAACATTAATTTGTTTGTCAACTATCTTACGATTAGTAAGATTGATTTGTAATGGCCTTATCAAATATTTGATCGTCACTAAATGGCAATATATTGCCTTTACCTGATATTATTTATAGTATATAGTACTAGTTTAGGAAAATTTAAGGAAACTAATTAAGAAAATTTTCAGATTGCAACAGCAATAGTTTGTTATCTCGAAAAATATACGGATTTTTACGTTTTCAACTATTCAAAACTAAATTACGAGAAAAAAGAAGATCTTGTTATTGAAAGTGGGGCTCATCTTTGTAAACATATAGCACAATTTATTTGCAATGCAAATGTAATACATCACTTGAGTAGTAACTTTTTAAACAATCCAGAAATGCCTTTTAATGTAATTCCAGTTGCATGTGGTATTTTTCCTTCAATAAGTATTATGAATCACTCTTGCAAACCTAATATAAGCTTATAGTAAGTTTCCTGAAAAATTGTTTATTAAAATGTTTTATAATAGGTAATCGAGTTCCTGAACTGTTTTAGTTTTGAGAAAGATGTTGCCATTGTGAAAGCGGTTGAAACTGTAGAAGCAGGAGGAGAAATTTTTAATTGTTACGGTGCAAATTATCTTTTTTACAATAAATTAGAAAGACAAGAAAAATGCGAAGGAGTTTATCATTTTACATGTGACTGTATTATCTGCAGTAATCCTCATTTGGAAATTGTGAGAGACTTTATACAATATCGCTATTTTTAAACCAGTTTGACTTTGATTTTAGGAGAATTATGATACTTTTTCTTGTAAAAATTGTGGAGGACAACTTCTGAAAACTTCACCCGATTATAATTTTAAATGTGTAAATTGTTCACAAGCTTCGAAACTAGTCCACGTAGGTGAAATTGAAGAAAAAGTATCAGAACTATATTCCAGTGAGTTTTGAGATAGGTCTTTTATTCCAATATTAAATAACATTTTTTAGAACCCAATCCAAGTGAAAAATATCTTTTGGCGTGTTTAAAAAGACTTAATGATGACCTTTATCCTAAACATTCCTGTTTCGTTCATATTTACGCAATATTAACGGAATATTATACCGAGAAAGGTTTTGAACATTTCTTCAATTTTTTTAACGTATCATTTCGTTTAATTGTATTGTTTTAGGTGACATTAAAGAATTATTTAAGTACTCGAAATTATTATGTGATACAGAAAAATCTCGTTTAGGTGATTACAATATGCAAGTTGGTATCAAATTGAAAACCTTGATAAAATGCATTCATTCTTGTTTGGAAAAGAAAGAATTTGGTGATATACAACAATACAGGTAATAAAATTTTCTCCAAGTTTGTTACCTGTTACTTATACAATAAAGATTATTTATACACTAGGAAGGAAATTGAAGATCTCTCTCAAATGGTTGATGACATGAAAAAGATTTTAGGTTTATATTTTCATCTAGGAAACCATCATTTTGAAAAAATAGAATTTGCAGTAGGTGCACTTAGATTTGTACTGCAGATATCTTTAAAAAACCAATAAAAATTCTTAAAAAAAATAAAACTGTCTCATTAGTAGGGAGCGGACGTCGTTAACACAAATGAGGTCCGTGGTTATGCTGGTCATCATAATAGTTAAATGTTCCTTATTTTCAATAATTTTGTTTATGATCAGTCATTTTATTAATATGAAAAACCAGTAAACTTAGCATGAATCATGTTGGATATGATAATAATCACTTACAAACTATATCGGCAACATATACTTAATACTTCTATTTTGCCATTCCCACAGCTGACAGTTGTCTCTGCGCATGAGCTTGCCATCATTTCGAGGCACGTGATGAGAACAGCGAATTCGCTTCGTGTAAGGCATTAATAGTTTTAAACATTCAATATCAAAATCAAATTTTCGAAAGGTATTCATATTATTAATTGTATAAACGATACACTAAGTAACAAAAAGAAAATAATAATTAATTACAAGGTACGTATAGTGGAGATGCAATCACATATGTATGTAGTCCTACTAAAACGCTAAGAACTTAAGTGTGAATCGAATTAATAAAATTATTCAAACGACATTAAATTAGCGGGTAAAGGAACTTTTTCGGTGTTCGCTGCATCTTGAAGGCAACGAGACCATCTGACAGCTGCTGTTTGCGAACCAGCACGAAATTTATAAACATTTCCTGTGAATAAAAGGAAACAAAATGACTACAGGAATAAAAGTGATTTTTGCATCACAAAACTACTAGTACTTAATAAACGAACCACTTTCAAGTTTACTGGAAAATAAAAGTTAACGTTAAACTTACCTCGATTATGATCAACCAAATGGAAGACATCCGTGTGTACCGAATTTTCTTCCAAAATTATTGAACATCCGGTTAAAGATACCATCTTGCAGGGTTCTCTTTTAAAATCAGACCTTTGTGAGCTACAAAAAAAAAGCAAAAAAAAAATTAAAAGCAAATAAGTACACAATAATATATAAGTTTTTATACAATTATGTTAAACAAAAATTAAAAATAGTTTTTATTATCTATTGTTTATTCATTTTTTTTTTTCATAAAGTTATATTGCGAGTTATGATTTTTTTTAAATTACTATATCAAGTATACACCATACAAGCTAAATCAGTATGTACAACATACAGTACTTTTTAAACCCTTTTGCACTACTGAATGTTCAGCTTTGCATAGCGCGTTCGATGTTTAAAGCTCAACTAATATTATTTAAGAACTCACCCTTTAAATGACTTTGGTGAAAAATAAACTATCGACGATGACCAAATTTGAAGCCAGTACCTTTGCCAAGAAGCAACGGTAGGTTTTTTTCCATATTTCAGAATAGTTTTCCTTCTGATGCAGCCTTGCATAACACAAGAGTCAGTTACGTTGTTCAAAATATCTTCAGTTAATCTGCAACTACATAATAAATTTTATTATAAATCAATTTCGAAAATATCCGTTACCTTGTGAGGAGAGTGCAATCCTCGTCGGTATTTTTAGAGGCTTGTAAAGAAATATCAGAAGGTGGTAAACTAAGTTCGGCTCTACTAAGCTGCCCGCATTCAGAATGAGTATCTTCAAGCTCCGAATCGTCTAATAAGTGTAATACTTTGCTTATTTCTTTCGTGTCAGTCGAATTAACATGAAATTTACCAAATATACTACAATGAAGAATTTAAATTAGTTTTGCTATAAAAATTTAATTATTTTTAAACAAACTTCAAATACTAGGTATTATTTTTGTTCATGTTACTGTTCGCTCTTTCCCTTCAAATAAAGTTTCAAACCATGCAGTTTTCTACCAAAATTACATCAAACCACATTCTGTATTCTAAGTTACTATAATAAAAGCACCTGTATTCGATTCTAATAAATTCATACTGCCCTTAGAGGAATTTTAAAAAAACTACTAATTTTTTCTTTAAGATTAGAACAACTAAAGCGACAACTGGATACTCAGTCAGCAAGTTAATAAAGACTTACCCCCAAATAGCAAGTGAACACCCTTGAGGTGTTCCTTGCTTATGAAAGTTACGTGGCAGACTTGCACTACGAAATCTAAGAGATAGAATTTATTATAGCTTAGAAGGAACACTTTTGAATTCAAAAGACAGACCATTTTCTTTTACTAATACTAATCTATTTATTATCTATTTGTAGATTAATAACAAGATAATTTTTAGGTAAATATAATCTAAATAAAAAATGCAATAAGTTGTTTGTTAGCTGAAGTATTACCACTCTACAAACCATTTATGTAGATGAGCCCTGATAAACAAAGGTTTAAACGACCGAATAAACAATTTGTTAACACAAATACTAAAGTTCTTTTCCAGATCACCCAAATCAGTGTAACTATATAATTTAAAATAAAAAACAAGTATTAATACTTTATACCATTCTTATAATTAAAAACATAGTAAATTTAATTCTTCAAAGATCAATGTAAAAATACACCAAAAAGTTTAATGTAATCTAGAAAAGTACAATTAAAAGGATCAAATATAGAAAATGCAATAAACTGTCGTTAACTCCAAAACGTGAAAGTTTCAAACCAAAACTAAAACCAAAAGCTTCAAAAAACGATAAAAGAATTAACACTTACTTGGTGCCCAGACTACGGCATTTTCGGTGTCCAGGTATGAACTTGGCACCGGAAGTGACTGCCTGTAATCTGAGTGAACCGCTGGATGCCTTGGCAGGAGAGAGATTCAAAGACGCGATCGCCAAAGCATCGACTGCACCGCCATTCACCGATTCCTTCGAACTACACGTAGACGAGCTAGGGGGTGGTGTAGGCGGTTCTAACTTAAGAGACAATCTAAATTTGTAAATTTAATTATTATCGTGAATAAAATAACTTTTATAGTGAGCGATAAAAACCTACTTGTATTGGTCATCTTCAACAAACTTTTGCAGTTCCTCGATGTACCGTATAGAATTAAGGTAATCCTGAACGTGAGATAATGTAGGTAAATATGAGTAATCAGATAGCTGATAATTCGAGATTATACGAAGTATGTTGTTCATTTTGAGTAATCGTTGTTGAGATTCTAAGCCTCCCGAATGAGGATGTGCCATATCGATGTAAACCAAATCGGTTAGATAAAGACCTGAAGATTATAAAAAATATTACTGCCTAAAATCATTAAAACTGTAAATGTTTACCTAAATAAGGAATACATGGCAACTTCAGACTTTCGATGTGATGTCTAAGATTCGACCAGTTGTCAGCGTCCGAAAAAACTTCGGAAAGTTTATCGAACGTCTGCTTCTCCTTCTTAGTCAAACAGTTCCAGGTTTTCGATAACCTTTAAAATTATTTATTATTTTAGTTTTGTATATTATGCCAAAAAAAAGTAGGTACTTTACCTATACACTGAAGCACTCTGAAGAGCTGATATGATTGCAAAAAGTGAATGTAAATTGTTCAGATCATAAAGTTTCTTCGCTATTTTAATAAAATGGCCCAAGATTTCCGCTCGTTGTTTAGTGGTAGACCGTGAGAGTATTTCTTGAACGACCCAAAAACTCACCTGAAATCATTAACTAATTGTACACTTTTTCTAATTTTTTTTCTTCTAAAGTTGAAATATGCAAACACTATTTAGTTTCAAGCGTTTCAGCAAGTAGATATCCATATATTTAAATGAACCTTGTTGGAGCATACGTAATCCTAAAATGTAGCATCGTACTACAGATGGCGCTCACCACGCCATTTGTGGTATTTTCTAAAACGCGCTGTTAAGACAGCAGGTAAAGGTTGGTCTGTGTTCTGTCGGAGCTGCCTGCGACGCGCTGATGAGATCCAAAAAGATCGAAATCGCGATCCGCGTCTGGCAGTTTCGACAGAATACAGACCACTTCGAATTATTTT